CAGTTAGAACTTTCAAGGGCTCCAGAGTGAACTCTGGTATCTTCCGCACATTTGGGAGATGTCCCGGAGAGCAGCTATAGGCCAGAGTCTCCTAGATTCTCTCTTGGCTTCCTGAAGTCTGAGTTGGTTAAATACAGGAGTTGAAATGCGAAAGGTGAAAGTAATATATAAATAGTGAATGTTATACATTGTGAAGTTAATAAGAATACTTAATAATAAAAGCACCAAAGGATTTACGGTTAGACAGCTGTGTAGAGCAGTGATGAATCGGCGTGGATTCTTACTAAAGGCAACACTTTAGCTGCAGTAAACTGTCTCTCCGCACTGCCTCTAATTTTAGAAAACATGCCCCTCCCTCTCTCTTTCTTTTTTAAGCATTGGGACATCTATACTACAGCTCCAAACGAGAGTAATTCTACTTGCCAAATTATGATTAGCAGTAAACAGAGACAAGTGTAAGAGAATCTATTGTAACCTCTAGAACATACTTCTTTTAGATGAAAAGAGGCAGATGTTCATTTCAGTTCAGGACCCCAGGCCAGAAAGCTCCCTACCTTAGCCTTGTTGCTAATATGGACCGTCAGACCCAGGCTGGTGGTAGGGTGAGGTCTGACAGAAAGAGAGCACCAGGACTTCCCGCCCTCCTGTGGGAGGCAAGACCAAGAATCCCAGAAATCAGCCAGAGGAGTGTGCTTCATGGTGGGCGGGGGGGGGGGGGGGGGGCGCCCTTTTCATAGGATGCCTTTGTTTGCCTGGAAAAGTGGAAGGCAGACGACTGGCATGAATAAGCCCTGGGGAAGGAAAGCACAGACAGTGAAGTGAGGACAAGAGGGTTTCAAAGTCACAGAAGGACACACCAGGCAAAATGAACCATGTTGAATTTCTGTAGCCCCTTTTTGGTTTATAGCCTTTCCCCAAAACACCAACTGGCATCAGTGACAAAAGGATCAAAGCATTGTGATGCTGGAAGTTTACAGATGAAGAAACTGAAGTTTGTAAGGGTTAGGTACATGTTCAGACAGAGAAGAAATGAAGTTTAGTCAACAAGGTTCTGAGTCAGATAATCTAATATGCAGACTGAAGATTTAATCCTTCCTTCACTGAGGTGAGTGTATGCAGTGGGGGCGGGGGTGTGCAGCAGAGGCGGGGGCGTGCAGCGGGGACAGATGCATGCAGTGGGGTGGGGGTAAAGCGAGCTGTTGGACAGGACAAAGCCCATTTTTCAGAGCTGTCAGCACTCCACTACTGCACTGAAAATTTCTTTTCCAAGGTGCTGATAACTTCCTCACTGTCAATTTCAAGGGCTTCCTTGCTTATTGCCTTATTAACTTTCTCCTTGAAACTGACTGGGCTTTCACAAGAACCCATAGTCCTACCCCTCCTGCCTACCACTCTTTCTCCTTTTGGTCTACTGTGGGTTTTCCCTAAGGCTCATGTTTATGATTTCAATCCAGATTTTATGCTGAAGACTCGCACGTCTACAGAACTAGCCCTGTGTTCTCGCTGAAATTCCAGCTGCATAGCCCCAAGGATCTAGTGGACCAGACCAGAAAGCTTGCCTGCCCGCCTGCCTATTCTTTGTAATGGACAAGGTTGAAAACCAGCCAGATCACCTCTCCATTTTCACTTTTGTAGTCAATGGTACTCATCATTTTCCCAGGTTCTCAGGCTCAAAACCTAGAAGCCATCTTGCACACATTGTTTTCTGTTGATGCTCTGCTGAGGCTCAGGCTGGAGTTTTCTGCGAGGAGGGGCAGTAGTGCTGGAAACTGCGTGTTCCTCCAGCAGAAGGGGAATTTCTCCAGCCTGGTGGGCAGGTGTTTCCTGGACACCCTGGCAGGTGGTTTTCATAGGCTCTCTGCGTTCCGGTCAGGAGAGGAAAAGGCAGAAGTACAGCACAGGAGGGAAATAAGAAGGCCAGTAGGTAAGCAAATCTCCCCATTTGTCAAAAATGAGACTGAAGAAAAATATTGGGAGTACTGCAAAGACCCAAAGCTGTTTCCCCCTGTATCCTCAGACTGTAAACTCCTTACGGACATTCAGTGATTGGGGGGGGGGGGGAGTGAAATACAAATGCCTATTTTAAATATTGTAATTGCATTTCTTCTTGTGGGGAAAAATAAAACAAAAACCAGAACTGACAGGTTGATGGGTTCCTGCAGTTGGGTATAAAAGCCAAGACCGACGAGCGAACACACTGCAGACTTAGATGAGGACACCTGCGTGCAGCAGGGTTGCTCACGCACGCAGACGAGGACCGGGGCCGGGCTCCGGGCCCTGGCAGAGCCATGTACTATGGCACATTGACCCTTGCTTCCTGAGAGACATGCAGGCAGGCTGGTGACCTCAGTGGGGCAGCAGTGTGCTTAGGGCTCCGGATGTCACTGACCTGCTTGTGTTTCTGTATTTAGGGCATGATGCCAATCATAAAATAACTTTCATGCTATTTGAAGGTGGGATTTGTGTAGGGTTTCTCTTTTTATCCTCCAAAACACCAGGCTCACCGCTCTGAACGTGGGTAGTAAGACACTGCTGAATAAATAAATAAATGGCAACCCTTTGCCTTTCAGGAAGAAGTAGATGCAAGTGTCGGTTTCAGAATATGGGGTTGGGGTGGGGGGAAGAGTTCTGAAGATTTCAGAGGCATGTGAGTCACTTCCCAGTGAGACTGTGTCCAAAGGCTAAGTGACCAAGAGGGGAAATGACCTATGAGCACATCAAGAAGTTTGCCAACAATCTCTTTAATGGACAGAGGAGGATGTTTTTATTTGTTATGTGTTTTTTAAAAGTACTTTCTCTTAAATTTGCAAAGTTAACACTCATGAGCTTTGTTGGAGTCCTCAGGGGTCCATTGTGGCTAGCTACATGCTGAACGCGCTTCCTATTTAAGCATATTTGGTGGGGCTGTGGTCAGAGAGGGCCAGCCCACACTATGCTTTCTTTGGTGTAGATGTAGAGGGTTATCTCCTTGGTTCTGGGAATTGGAAAGGGCAGGATCCCACCCGATATCCCAACTGACTGAAGTAACAAGAGAGTTCCCAAGTGCAGCAATGGAGAATTCCCAAGACACACATGCAAGTGGCTTGTGAGTGGCAGGCTTCAGTGGTCTGGGCCTAGCTTCTTATTTTGCCAACTTCAAGGGGATGATGAGCTTACATAGAATCAAAGTCACTGAAATGAATGTGTTAATTTAATCCCTTGCCTGCCCAAGGTTGGCTATAAATTGACCTGAGAAACAGCAGCAGCAATTTCTAGTTCTTGGATTACACAGTAATCCATAATGTATTTTTTAAAAAAATGAAATGTCTATTGGAGGTCCTACTGCTACCAATAAATAAATTCCCACAATGTCTGCCCCCTTCTGCAAGAAAGTTCTCAGGAAGGTACATGCTTCATTCTGAGCTGGCACGTTTAGAGAGCGCTCCAGAGATGCCAGTCTGGGTGGATTGCTGGAACGTTCCCAGCAAGAGGTTTTGACTGTAAAGTGTATCTTTAGTGTGTAGAGGGGTGGAGAGAAGGAGGAGAACACTGGTGGTCAGTAACTACAGGCGAGGCGATGCCCAGCATCAGGGGAGGGTGCAGTCAACAGCAAGGGGCTGAGGCTGTCAGAGGCGGAATAGGGAAGGGAGCAGGAAGGACAGGGTCCTCCTGCTTTGTGCCTACGCAGCGCCAGCATCCGCTTCTCTGCTTCTGCTAAGGAAGCTGGAGGTGAGATGTGGTCATGGGACTTGCTTTGGCCAACGAAATGGAGCGGAAGTCATGTATGTCCCTTCCTGGTAGACACGTTAAATTGCTGCACCTGACTTCCCATTCTGGTCTCCTGCTTTGCCCATGTCAAAATATCTTTTGATATGGAAATGCCATAGATCAAAGCAATAAACTACGTGTGAATGAAAAAAACAAGCTTTACACTAAAGCCACTAAGATTTCTGGGTTGTCTGCCTCTCCTAACACCACACCCCCTCTTCCTGTCCTCTTTTTCACAGGCAGTCGCTGTCGCTCCTTTCGCACCTCCTCCCTGCACGCTCTCTCCCTTCCTTTCCTCTCCCCTTCATTCTGGTTCCATTGCTCTCCTAACTGGAAATAATAATAAACATAATTCCCAGTCTTAATCTGAAACATGGACACATTTGTTTTTTGAAAAAAATGATTAAACTTTAGAATTAACATTTTAGATTTCTCTCTTTTTTAAAAAAGACAGCACTGAGTTAAATTAAAGGTCAGATTTAGCTTATGTAAAAGATGGATGCTTTGGAAACCTTACTATGTTATATAAACATATGGATCACTACTGGGGACAGGCCATCAATGGATCTTGTATGGGTTAGTAGCTATCAGGATAAATAAAAACAAACACACACCTTCCCTAAACACCATGCAACAGCCATGCAGCCCAGAGAAGCCGGAGAGAGCTCCCTCTGAGGGAGGCTCTGAACAGGAAACCCCTTACAGCATCATGGGTCACTTAGCTCTCACTTTGCTAACTTTGTAACTTTGTTATGAAGGCCACAGGAGCTGCAGCACCCAGAAGCCTATTCAAGACTAAAGGACATCTGAAGTTATCGAAAGGACTACTCATTTTCATGCACAATCATTCAGAGCATAGTGTTTAGACCTGAGGTTGCCCCCACCACTCCAAGAATTGTTTCAAACAAGTCAAGTCACTCTAGGCAGGAGGCAGCGGAGAAAGCAAGAGCAAGGAAATGCAACTGTAGCCTGCAGAACCATGCATGCTCAAACAAACACGACAGATGTGCTTTGAAAAACAACTCAACAAGCTCTGGTTTCAAATAAGAACATGCGCCACTAGGTAAACACGATGAGACTTCTCGGCCATTTTACAACACGACGGAGAGAGCTGCGTGGGTTTACACATAATCAGTTCTGCAGAGGTGACCCTGTGCAGGGAGGAGAGGGGAAGGTACAGACCGGTTCTATGAGGAAAAGAAGAACATGCAAAACAAGCAAAGGCCAGATGGAGAATTCTGAAGTTCACTTACTGCCTGCTTTTGCTCTTCCTCCTAGACGTGGTGAAAACAAAACAAAACAAAACAAAACGGCAGAGGGAAAAACAAGAGAGGTTAATGCCCATCACCACAAACATTTGGAAGAAATGACAGAAGAGGGCAAATCAGGCCAAGCCCATGGGTTCAGAGGTCAAAGCCCTGAGCACCACGGGGCATCATCAGCTGGACAGAGCAAACGGTCGGCTTCTGGGTCATTAAATGCTAGACTTGCTAGGAAAGAACCTGAAAAGCCACCTAGTCCAAATTCTGCATCAAAAAGCTGAAGACAGTCTGACTGTCCCAATGTATAAATACGTAGGGAAACCCCAAAGAAGCAGCTCAACCATGACTCAAAAGCCCAGTAATTTGTTTTATTGTTCACAGTATTCATAAGTGTTTAGGCGCATTTCACCAGGCAGTGGTCCTCAGAGTGTGGAATAGAGACCAGCAGCAGCACCTGAAAACCTGCCAGAGATGCAGACTTTGGACCCCACCCCAGACAAAACCCTTGGGGTGGGGCACGGCGATGTATTCAGTAAGCCTTTCAGCTGCGTCCGACGGTCACCCGTCTGAGAAGCGCTGCCCGAGGAATTTCCCCAGCTAGCGACCACATGCCCATAGACTCATCCCCACTTGCTTTTGGGCTGCTTTGGTTTTTCCAAAGATGCACAGGCACCTACATTCCCCCAGTAAACTCGAAACTGCTTCAGGGCCCTTAGAGACCTTGCTTTTTCATGAATTCACACAGGTTTATTTAGTGCTTCTAACAAGTACAGCTCTGGACACACAAGATGGCCTCGTCAGAGCCTCACAGCGGTGGTGCTGGAGCAGCCACCTGCTGGCTGCCCTCTCTGAACGCGCCCCCAGGCGCTGTAGAGAGAAACACAATGATGATGAGATCAACACTTCCAAGCTTCCCTTTCCTTGCCCGCTGTTTCTTGGCCAGTCTGTCTTTAATGGGTATCTTCGCTTCCTTTCGGTGCCTCATGGTGGGTGACCGTAGTCAGAAAGCCTCTGCTCTTTGCCCCAGGTACGCAAACCTACAAGCTGTTGCAGCGGTTCTGTTTACACTGGATCCATCCACCCAGGTGGCCTTCACGGACCATGCGAGGGGGGGCCTCGGGAAAGGACGAGGGCTTCCCAGGGCGCAGGACTGAGTGCGGTGGTAAGGATGATTTCAGGAAAGCCAAGCAATTACAAAAGGGAGAAAGTAAGTAAAAATGTGGAGAAAATAATTTCCTTCTTGCAAGGGAGAGACATGGACTGGAAATGAAAGGGGCACCAAAACATTTCCAACGCAGCCCAGGACGATGCGCTCGCAGGAGGGGCAGCTGCAAGCTGCCCGGCCACACCCGACCCCAGGAGCCCAGGCGGGGCCGGCCCGGGCGTGAGCTGAGTGGGCCTGAGAAGTGAGGGTCTTTGGGCTTCTGCCCCTGGCGTTCACGGCTCTAGTTAGAAGGGGTGAGAGTCTTACAGTTGGGAAGCCATCTCCCTTTCTAGCCAGGCTTCCCTGTGAGACAGAACACTTTTCTTCCATTCACTGGGAAGGCAGTCGGTCAGTCCTAGGAGAGTTACGAAACAATTTAAAAATGTGTTTCGGTTGTTTTTTTTTGTTTTTTGGGTTTTTTTTGCTGGTACTATGTGTTGCAATGGAAATTGAGATGGTGTGGGAGGGATGGGGCAGTCATTCCTGACAGGCTGAAATTGCATCTGAGGTCGAAAGATCAGTATGTAATTTCTTAAAACTGTTGCTAAGACACCTACCCTATTCTCACTGTTTTCTCCAGGCTTGGGATTGGAGAAAACACTGCTTTGGTTCTACAGGACAGGGAAGTTTCAAAAAGCAATGTTTCAAGTTTGTCTGCAGACTTGGTGACTGTTGTATACAGTTTGTCCAGACGTGAAATCATTAAAACCTGCACTAGACTCACGTGTCGGGGGGTGGGGGGGGCGAGGAGGCGGACAGGGCGGCAATCTCAGGACCCAGGGGCCTCCCGTGAGCACTGGGGCTGCGAGAGGGTGGACTTTGGCAAAGTGTGACTTAGGACGGTGTTGTATAATTTAAACCCACAGAAGGCATTCAGATAAAACCTTGAAGGCTCTGTCAACACAGAAAATAGGCCAGATAGAAGATCTTAGAACATTCCTGTTATCAATTGGTCAGTTAGGGTCAGTAAATATTGGCAGGTGACAAGGCATAGGAGCCAACTTGATTTAAAGGGGGCGATAGCACCTCAATTATAAAGTGCAAGCCTGGGGCTGCTCTGTCACCTGGAGCAGGAGACTCCTCCACACGGGCAATCCCTGGCGCGGTGCCCAGAGTGATGCCGAAGTCCCTGAGTCATCGATATAAAAATTTATATTCGAAACCCCATTTGCAAATGACGCTGAAATTTGAAACTGCACAATTCATCTGGTAAATGTATTTCAAAAGCAATAATGGAAAAAATGGAAAATGGTGTAGAAAAATATTGGGAACATAATTTAGAAATTGAAATACCAACACATAACAGTTTCTGTATTAAATAAGAAGTCTGAGGCAGAGGCCATCCACATACTCAGGCATTAGGGGGACATGTAAGGAGAAGATACTTTTCGAAACACGGGCACCTGAGTGTCAGTCTGCATTATGTCATTAACAACAACAAAAAAGTACGGTCTCTGATATTCCTTGGTGACAGAAATGGAGTCTCCTTCACCAGTACATGCCAAATATCTAAAGACGGCACTTAGGAGTTCAACACTTTTTTTGTTAAATGTATGATTCATTTTTACCCAGCCTTGTTCCAAAATAAAAAGCATTTATGATTTTTGTTCAATGAAGTCATAAACAATGGTCACACCTCATATGCATGTTTATTTAAATTATTTTTCAGGTAAACAGACAAACTATAAAATATTTCGCTGAAGGAGTGAAATGAAAGAACTTCCTGTGAAATGGAAACTTGTTGTGTGGTGTATTTTAACTTATGACTATCCCAGACCATGTGGCTTGATTGTCCATTTGACTAACTGCTTACAGCTGTTTTATGAGAGAATTAAATGCTGCAGATTGATCATCAATGAAAGCAGGACAGTTGTTTGAAATAAAAATTAGGAGAATTTTAAAGGGTACTCTTATTATGTGTTGGTGAATACATATATTTTTAATAGTAGGAAAACATGGTTGAGATTTTAATAGAAGTTAGTGATTCCTAGGTAGGTAGGACCCTTTAGGAGTGTATATAACACACAAATTAAGATTGTAATCCTGTTAGGACGCTGGACACAAAAGGAATTGAGATTTCAACTGTGAATTCTAATCAGTGCATAAAAAGACAACATTCCTGGGGGTGTCTATAAACCCTTCCTCCCAGTCTGAATGGCCTCAGCCTGTCCGGTGGATAAATAATAATGTTTCTGTTTAGGAACCTGGATGGGGATCCTACAAAACGGGGCAGCAGGGTCCTGCTTATTTTACTGAAGTTGTAACTGCAACATAACACCTGGAAATACAAGAACCTCGGGGTCTGGGATTAGAGTTCCAGGCCTCAGCACGTTCTGCTTAGCCCTGGAAGGCAGGCGTCAGAGTTGAACTATGAGGTCACAGCAATGCCTGCGGGGCTCTGAGCCAGAAATGCTGAGGCGTGCTGAGGGCAACCAGCTGACGAGAAAGGGTAGCGGTAGTTGAGGAAATGCATTCTCACTTCATTTTTCGTAAACTTTTGACTTTTAACAAAAATGAGCCTGGGACCTTCCCATCTATCTCTGGGTAAATGTCTGAGCGCATCTTCTGAAAGGGAGGGGGGACACAGGAAGTGTGTGGATCCCCTGTCACTTGTGACCGGCTGGTGGGCGGACCTCCCAACGGCAGGGCTCCCAAAGCCCCACCAGGCCGCAGGTGTGGAGTGGCTGGCGGGTTGCTCAGCTGGGTACTTGACAATTATTGGAGGGATCTGAGCCAGGTTTTATGTGTAAGGTTTTCTTTAGGTAAGACCCATATAGATATCAGATATTTCTCAGGAAAAATCCTGCTAACAGGGTTCATGTGCAAACACACGCAGCAAAACAACCCTGACATCCAGGACCAAAGCTGGAAATAAACGGAGCTCAAGACTAGAAGTGGTTGTCTTGAGCAAGTCAAGTCAGTTTGAAATACATTTACCCCAGTTGCTAATACCACTAGCTTCATTTCTAAGGAGCTGGTTTAGAACGGAGAAGCTGAAGAAGAGGTGATATTTTCCACGTTGCTATCCTCTTGGGCTGCCACCCCAGTCTGGAACCTTGCTACTCGGACCTGGGCGACTTCATCAGTCTCCTTTTATCCTGAAGTCTCTCCCCTTTCTTACCTGTTCTGCGTATTTTCCTACCTATTTGTTCAAGACTGTCAGAGACTCCCCTTTATCACTGGATTAAATCCGCCCCACTCGGCCTGGCGTTTGGAGCACTCCACACTTTCCTACTTCCACTCCGGCTGCTAACTCTAACCCATCACAAAATACAGTGGCTTCAGCAGACAGACCTTAGGAATGAACAGCAGGGACAGATGTGCTCTGGTATTGCTGCTACACAGCTGGGTTAAGGATTTCTGTTCAGTGCTAATAAAATTGCCCAGGCGAGGACATTTACAGGCCAAGTGAGCATATCTCTGCTCTGGGGTTGTAAGGGTTGTAACATATTTTACATCAAAGAATAGTGAGATTTCAATTATTCCAGATATATTAAAGCCCCAATCTACCAAACCTAGAACTAACATGCTATTTTAATCCTCCTAATGTGGCAAAGTTATTGATTAGAGTTGGTTTGATAAGATTGGTGTGCTTCTGTAACACTTACTAAAAATGGACATAATATTTGTAGGTGGAATATCTGAATACTTGTGTTAAGAGAAACTTCAAATAGTTGAGAGCCATTCATTTATACATAGCTAATATCCTATTTATAAACATCCACAAAAGCAACTATTCAAGGACATTACTCTGGTCCCAGTTATTAATTTTTTTCTTTTATAATCAGGCTTTATACTACTTCAGATTACTCTTACAATGTTAGACTGCCGTAATGGAAGTTGACCTAAAAACTGGATCTAGGCAGCAATACACCAGCCTTATTCCCCTCCTGTCCAACATCATGGCGGGTGGGGGGCTGAGCTGCACTGGAGGTGGGTGGTGGACAAGAGAGCGAGCGGCCGGAGGAGGCCTGAGAGTGGGCGGCACTGGCTCTTACCTTCAGCAGCTTCATGAGCCCTTCCAGCTGGACCATCAGCTCCCGCCTGCTCTCCTGAAGGGCCGACATCCTCTGCTCCAGTTCGTCCTTCCGTTGCCTGTCCAAGAGGAAGAGCCCGTCAGAAATGAAACTTTGAAGATGAAGGGTCTGAGGCCAGGTCATACCTGTTTTGGACCCAACTCTGCTACTTACCAGTGTGTGAGATGCTGAGCAAGTCATTTAGCCTCTGACACCTTACATACAAAGGGGTTATATATCTGTTTTGCCCACTACACTGCTGTGAGAACGGCATAAAAATGCTCTGGGAAGCATCCATGGCCACATAGGGGAAAATATTACTAATAGGATTATTAAAGTGATTGGAAAAAGTATTTGTCAGGAAGTTAAACACCTCATTTAGAAAAATACATAGAACCACTAATTTATAAATTTAAGTCAATAGTGGAGAAAATATATGAAAACTGCCCAGGGAGGAGTGGGCCTAGCAGCCAGTGCCCCAGTGCCCAGCACCCAGCGCCCGCGCTGCAGGCACAGCAGACACCAGGGTGGCTCTGTGTCTCGGGGAGGTCGCTTCTCCCTGAGGACGAGTTTCATGTCAGTGCTGGCTGAGTATGTCCTGAGTCGAACGTGAATTTTCCTCCCCAAAGTTCTCTTTCCCAACTTCCCTGTCTGTCCCTTTTTCTTCCAGTTGTCATGGCTGAAAAACTCAGTCTCCTTGGTACTTTCCTGTGTCTATCCTATAGCCAATTAAGTCACCCAACTCAGATCATTCTTTCCTGGAAATATATGTATCTACCTTTCTATCCTCACTTCCCTAACTCTCTCCAAGAGCTTACCTCATGCACCCAATGGCCTCTTAGCTCAATTGCTCCCGATGTCTTCTATTAAGATGAGGAAAAAACAGTGGGAGACTAAACATGCAGTTTTGGACAAGTCACTTAACCTGTCTGAGCCTCAATTTTCTGTTCTGTGAGATGGGGCTAATAATAGGTAATGTCAGCAATATTTTGAGGAACAAATGAAGTAATGACTACAAAAGCATTCTGGGAAGCCCATCGTGCTGCGCAAAGGAAAGCCATATTCATTCCATCACCCTGTGTCTAACCTCAGCAGAACGTCCGGCATCCCTGACCCTTGCTTTGCACAGGCCAGGCCTCCGCTGTCTGGCCTGGCAGCCACGAGCCACACGTGCCTCCTCCGCACCTGAAATGTGACTAGTCTTAATTGAGATGCACTGGAAGGAACATACACACTGGATTTCACACATTTAGTGTGGACAAAAGAAAGTAAACTGTTTCATTAATAATTTTTAGTGTTGATTAAATGTGAAACTATTTTGGATATATCAGGTCAAGTAAAAGATAGTATTAAAATTAATGATACCTACTTGCTTTTGGTGGCTGGAGAAGTTTTGGCTACGCATGTGGCCCATGCTGTGTTTCTATAGGAGGGCACCGCTCCGGGCCCACCTGCAGCCCTGTCCCCGGCACCTCGCCACCTACTCCCTCCCACGTCTGCACCTCCAGACAGCTCCCTCTTCCTTCAACAGACCCCATCAAGTTACAGCTCACAGCCATCCCCCATTCCGAAGGTGATTCACTTCTTCAAGTCCATCCCAAACCGCTTTCCCAGGAAGCTGCTCCTGATGACTTCAGCAGGCGCTGTAATTATGTGGCACTTTATTTTACCTTGCATTGCTGTCATGCCTACCACTGCAAAATCCTTGAGGTCAAGGGAGGAGCCTTAACAGACTATCATGCATCCACGACGTACTCAGTTAACCTCTGGTTAACTCAAGGAAATCACTATTTGAAACCCCTCAAGGATTTCCAACGACCTATTGCTTAAGGTTCTTCAGAATCTGGTATCGATTATCTAACTAATTTTCTCTCCAATCACTGGTACTTTGAAGATTAATTCAATGGATGATTGAAAATAAGTCCTTAGCTCTGAGAGGCGTTCCCCTCTCTGAAATGTGTTATGCGTATTTGGGGGATCATACTGAACCCCCACACCACTTCTAATCGGAAACGGTTTGTCTCACACCCCTTGTAAATCACACCTACCCCTCACGGCCTAGCTCGACTTCCCCCGCCTCCATGGGTCTAACTGCTTCTAGCCTGCATAGGTTTAAATTCCTTATAACATACTACTCAGTTTTCTCCACTCAGATTTCTTAAAATATCCACACTATTTATTAACATTGTATAAATTATTTAGCTGACTAGCAACTTATTTTATGTTTTGTTTCCAAAACGAGCTTACCAAGTTTGAGGATGGAATCATCCTCTTCTAATCATTACACTCCCTACATTTCCAGCAAGGTGTGGCAACCGCCGGGGGGACTCACGCACTCACTCTGCCCTGAGCTCCCAGGACTGGATGCGGGGCTTTCTCTGCGCTGGCTCGACCACGTAATTACAGCGCGTGGTGAAAATGAATGAACTATAGCTACGTGCAACACCATGAAAGGCTCCCAATGAGTAATGTGGCGGGGGGCGGGGAGGGGGGGGACGGGCAGGATCTCAGAAGGCTGCATATAGTGACATTTCTATAAAGTCCAGAATACAAAAGCAAGACTAAACACCTTATTGTGTAGGAATATAATTTGATGCAGGAATATATATTTGATAATACTGTTTAAAAACAAGGGGAAAATAAACCAAATTCTGAAGAGAGGTTAGCTCTGTGGAGGATGGCGAAAGTGAGGGTGCAGGATACGCGGGGGGCATGTACACGCATAACATGGCTTTACGGAGTAAAGAACTCCATATAGGAGTTCTCAGGTAGGGTGTGGGTCCGTTTTATCATCGTGCTTCATATTTTACATTTGTCACTTATATTATTGTAACAAATGTACCATTAAAATCATAATAAAGAGGAAAACACAACTCTGGTGGCCAGGAGTCATCACCACAAACCCTAATGATGAACAAAACCTTGCTTTGTTATACGGCTGGGCACTGGCAGTTGCTGGCAGATCACATATACAGATCAGGAACAGAAGGATGCCAGATACGTACAAATGAATCTTGCCCTTTTTATGTCTTTTAATAAACAAAAGTTCTTAATGTGGATGAATTTACAAACTTCTTTCATGCTTAGTAATTCTGAGAAATTATTTTCTATTCTCAAATCCTAAAGATATTCCCCTACAGTTTTCTTCTAGAAGTTTTAAAGTTTTGTCTTCATGTCCAATCCACCTGTTTGTTTGTTTGTTTTGTTTTTTTGTATATAGTGTGAGGGGGAGAGCCAATGTGTTCTGTCTGTACACATAACTGATTCACCCAGCATCCTCCCCAATGCGTGGCCATGGGCTACAGAGCAACCAAAATCTCAGTTCAACTAAATTGAGCAACTAAAGGGAATTTTTAGAAAAATGAGGATTTCTCCACCTCTGAAGATTTTCATCTGCAGACGTGAAATTCTTTATGACTTATTTATGAATGCTATAAAGCTAAACAGAATGATAGCTATAGAAAAACTATCCTCTCTCTTTTCTAGGAAAAGAAATCATGGTTGAGAAGCTACCTGACCTAGGCTAAAAGAACTCAGAAAGGATGTACAGCTAGAATCCCAGATGAAAGCACATTAAAATCAACCGTGCAATGTTAAATGTTACAGCCTGAACAGGGAAAAAAAAAAACACCAAAAATAAAGTCTCACCAGTTAGAAATCTAGAGGTCTGGTGAAACTCAAGTCACTCAGTGTCCATACTGTCTTCACTCACAGAAGAAGAGACACACATCTTTCTAAGACTGATAGCAAGTGAGGGCTTAATAACTTTGATCAGGTCCCTCTCATGCTATGCTCTTCTGGAACACCTCTTCGTTCCCTCCAAAACAGCATCAGAATGGGAGCCGAAGTTGCTCTCTACTCTCCTGATCTGCATCCTTAGCCTCTCCATCTTTCAGAGAGTTTCAGTTTACGCTGAAGTGGGAAGGTTCCCCAGATGTGGTGCGAGGGGCTCCCACTTGGTTTCAGGTCTCAGTAAGGTGTGCGTGGGAAGCACCCTTTCCTCCAGCACAGCCCTGCCCTGACTACGAAGTGCCAGGAGACACACCCATAGGGCGGGAGAGCATTACTCCCGCCGAGAGGCCCTGCAGTCGGACTGCTCAGTGAGGCAGGAGGACGGCATGCAGCACCAGGGCCCTCTGAAGCCATCACGGGAGTACCAGCCCTGTTCTACGTGTCATGGAGCTGGAGGCAGGTGTTCACCTAGTTTTGTAATGAAGGCAGAAGTTCTCAAAGGGAGTAACAAAGGAACCCAAGGGTCTGACGCTGAAACAGAATGATTGAAGCCTTCAGTGTTTGTTCTGACATGACCAGTTACACTGATAAATGGATCCTATCCCACTAGTTTGGTTTCCTGGGAATAAATTCCTACCGAGACAGACAATCGTTTGACGCAGTATCCGCCTCTTACCTCAGCAGCCGCAGCTCGGCCAGCAGCGTGGGGTTCTGCTGGGCCTTCTCAGGGGTGGGCTGGGAAGCCTGCTCGTGCTCCAGGCGCAGGCGCTGGATCTCCTGCAGGATCTCCCTGGAGAAGGGGGAGAAAGGAGGAGGCCACGAGGGCCTCAGCTCACTCTCCCCTCTGGTTAGAAGTTTCCACTCTACTACTGCAGCCTCTACCAGTCTTACTCTGATTGCTTCCAAATGACCAAGGTGTGAAATGGACACCTTCTTAACACTGCGGCACATGACACTTACTCAGGGAAATAATCCTTTATGGTAGAAAAAGCCGTAACAATACTCTTCTTGGAACTTGAAAAAATCTCCACAGAAAGAAAATGACAACAGAATACTGCGCTCCTCTCTGCGGAAAGGACAAGAGAATGCCCTGCGACCTGCTGAGGTGGGTCCTGTGCTAACTCGCCCCCAGGGGTCCCGTCCCCCTTCTTCCCGTGACCCCCCCAAGTGATGGGCAGCTGCTTCTACCTATGCCTGTTACAGTACGTCCAGTCTCCTTGGCCTGGCTTCTGCCTTCAATGCGTAACGGTGTGCAGTCTGGTCTCCAAGCCCTTACATGGCTTTCTTAGTAAGAGACCAGATGGCCCATCCATAGCCTAACAAGCCAAGACAAGATGACTAGATGGAGCAAGAGGCCCCTGAGGGTGGGGAAAGAAATCCTGGGAGGGAAGCACACGTGTGGGGGTGGAGAAGGCACTGAGAAAAGAATATACCTGAGGACAGGCGAGCAGGGTTCTGGACTAGCGCCATGAACACCATGCAGATATACAATTTAGTGTCCAGGGAGTTTACTGGACTTGGGCTGGCCTATATTCACTGGGGGTGGGTTCTTCCTCTGTGGTCAAAGCCATCTAGTCTGCAAGGAAAATGAGATACTCACGTGATAACCTCAGACTTCAGAAACTGGATTCTGAAAGCCTCTGCATTCTTACCTGTTTTTGTTTTCCAGTTCTGCAATAAGCTGTCTTTGTTGTTTGTTGGCATCAAAGTTAAAGCTCAGGTCAGCGGGGGGACGGGTCTACAGTGAGGAGACAGAAAAGTTGTATTTTCCTCTTTTTTTCCTGATTCAAATATATCCAGAGTTCTAGATAGACTGTTGATTAATTTTTGTGGTAAAATTACCTACCATAGAATCCACCCATTGTAAGTGTACAAGTCAATGAGTCTTAGTAAGTTTAAACAGTTTTTGGGACCAATCGCCACAGTCCAGCTTTAGAACATTTTCCACCACCACAAAAATATCTCCCTCGTGCCAGTTTGCGGTCAACTGCCATTCACTCCCATCCCCCACTGCAGACTGTCTAGCTTTTCCTTTTCTAGAAACTGCTTGTAAATGGAATCATATAACCGGTAATTGTTGGCTTCTAGCTTCTACTTAGCGTGATGTTTGTGAGGTCTATCTGCGTTGCTTCATGAGTCAGGAGTTCCCCCCTTTTACTTGCTGAGCAGTACTCCACTGTCGCGGCTTTGGGCTATTAAATGAAGTGGCTATGTGTTGACGTATGCTTTCATTTTTCTTGGAACTGTCAAAATTGTTTCCCAAAGCACCTATACCATTTTACAATCACACCAGCAACGAATCAGGGATTGATTCTCTATATCCTGTTAATACTTGTCATTGTCTTTTTAGTTTTAATCATCCTAGTGGGTGTGAAGTATCTAACTGTGGGTTTAAAAAAAAAAGGAGATATAATTTACATGCCATGTAACCTACCCTTTGAAAGTGTACAATTCAGTGGTTTCAAGTATATTTATGATGTTGTGAAACCATCATCACTAATTCCAGAATATTTTCATCACCCTCAAAAAGAAACTCCATATCATTAGCTTTCATTCCCCATTGCCCCCTCCACTACCCTGACAACTACTAATCTAGTTTTTGTCTTTATGGACTTGCCTATTCTGAATAGTTCATACAAATGGAATTATACAATACGTGATCTTTTATATGTGGCTTCTTTCGCTTAGCAAAATGTTTTCAAAGTTCATGTTATCGCATGTGTCAGTATTTCATTCTTTTTTTACAGCTGAATAATATTCTATTATATGGACTTAATCACATTTTGTTTATTCAACAGCTGATGGATATTTGAACTGTTCCCGTTTTGGGGGCTATTTTGAAAAATGCTTCTATGAGCGTTTGTGGACAAGTTTTTGTGTAGAGATGTATTTTCATTTCTCTTGGGTATACATCTAGGAGTGGAATTGCTGGGTCTCATGGTAACTGCCATCTGAGGAACCGCCAAACTATTTTCCTAATGGCTGCGTTATTTTACATTCCCACATTCAATGTGTGAGGATTCCATTTTTTCCATGTCCTCATCAACACTTGTTATTATCCTTATTTTTGATCATTGTCATCCTAGTGGGTATGAAGTGCTATCTCCTTGTGGAATCAGTTTACATCTTCCTAATGACTAATATGTTGAGCAGACTTCCATGTGCTTATCGATCACTTATATATTATCTTTGGAGAAATCTGTGGTTTGTTTTGTAAGTCCACTGATGTTTCCAACTCTTGTCATCCCTTTAAGAATATGGAAGCCAATCAACACAAACTTGGAAAACAGATGATGAATCCCCTCTACTGGTAACCACAGCCAAGCTCTCAAAGAAGGCACTTTGATGGCTGTGCTTCACTCTGCACATTCTTAGTTCTGCCCCAAACAGACCTACAATGGAGCAGGAACCTTGTTTCCTATCTCAAGCTTAAAAAAAAAACATGTCCTAAACAAACAGGGGCAAAGCAGCATAACCAATCTGGGTGAAAGGCTTTTTACCAAATAATTTTCTTTCTTAAAGGAAAACAAAGATGATTTTTTTCCTCCTCCAGCGAAGAGTGGACTAGCACCCAATTCAAAAAATTTTCTTTATTATATTAAGAGTCTTGTGAGACTCTGAATTGAACCTCAGGAAAATGGCTTGCCTGAGACTGAACCTGCTTTGAATAATAGATTTATAATTTCTGAAAAATGGAGTTAAAACTAATGGCTCCTTATTAGAGTGGGACCAGGGAAAATCAGGGGGAAATGATCTCTGAAAGGAATTTGCTTCATAGATAGAAAACAAACAGATGAGAAAACCCCATAGTATTTCACTGGAAATTTCTAAAGAATCTTTTCAGTTTTGAGTGTCTGACTGCACGTCTGAGGCATCTTTCAAAGAGGAGGTTAATATGGCAATCGAGCTTATCACCGGCAGTGGCTCCTCGCCGGGCAGGAGTCTTTGGCACCAAGCAGCATCATCCCTCAAATAGAAAGACACGACGGGGAGGGGCAGGTGGAGGAAGACGCAGACCCTGAGGCAGCACTCCCACTGGGGCATGGGGACGGAGCAGGAGAGCCCCGGTGGCAAGTGTCCACTGATGGCTTATTTCACCTGGTCAGATTTCGTGCTCCTTAAAAACAAACAAACAAAAAAAAAAATACAGAAAAAAAAACAAAGCCAGTATCTTTATTCCTGAAATACTCAGGACACTACAGAGAAAAAGACAGAAAGGGAATTATTAGGTCATAAAGACACAGAATACTTTTGCAAGGAGACCTAAAGATGATTTCCTTCAAAAAGTATATAGTTCATTCATTCATTTATTCAACAAATATTTCCCAAGAGCTTACTATGTGCTAGATACCGCTCTGGAAACTAGGGATGCATGAGTGGGTGAGATGCAGTCCCCACTCTCATGTAGCTTATATTACACTGGGACAGAAAGATTAAAAAAACAAACAAATGAAACATATATGATCATTGTGATAAATGCAATGAAGAAATATAGGGTAATGAAACACAGTGAGCCCTGGCTGGAGTAGCTCAGGGGATTGAGTGCCAGCCTGCGAACCAAAGGGTCACCGGTTTGATTCCCAGTATAAGGCACATGTCTGGGTTGCAGGCCAGGTCCCCAGTGGTGGCGCATGAGGCAACCACACATTGATGCTTCTCTGCCTCTCTTTCTCGTTCCCTTCCCCTCTAAAGATAAATAAATAAAATCTTTTTAAAAAATAGAATAAAATAAAATATTTAAAAAACAAAAAAGAAACACAGTGAGCTCAGACAGACTCTTTTTAGATGAGGTGGCTGTGAAACACTCTGAGACTCAGTGAAGTGAGGAGGGGAACCAGGGGAAGGTTGGAGGGACGCGCAAAGGCCAAGGGCCTGCCGCCCTCTGCCTGCTGTTCTCAGGTCAGTGCTGATGGCCAGTGTGCGGGGGTGGGGGTGGCAGGCAATGAACTGGGAGGCAAAGCTGGGGCCCCGATCACGGAGGGCCATGGGCGGGAGCTTCCATTTCGTTCTGAATGTGGTGTGAAGCCACTAGGATGCTGAATGGGGAAGTACCGCAATTCCAAACGATGCAGGAACATACTCTCCCCTCGAGGAAGTGGAGCCTAACTCCCCACTCCTGTACGGCCTGTCCATAATGACTGCCTTTCGAGAGGCCCGGTGGAAAGGGGCGGGGAGAGTAACTTCATGTTGGAAAAACTTGACAGACACTTCCTCAGCCCAGTGATCATGGTCAACAGCAACAGTGATAAATGATGCTGATCCTATATACCCCTGACATGATAGAAAAGCGGCGCCTACCTCTTCTTCCTCAAAACCCACAGTCCCAGTCTAATCTGAGAAAAACATCATCCCATTTAAGGAACATTCTACAGTGTTTGGTTAGTACTCTTCAAAACTGTCAAGGCCATCAAAAAACAAGGAAAATCAGAGAAACTGTCACAGCCAAGAGGAACCAAAGAAATGACAACTAAGTACAACTGTGGCACCCTGGATGAGATCCTGGGACAGAAAGGGGGCATTGGGTAAAAAACTAGCAAAGTCTGAATAAAATTTGGACCTTAGTTAATAATAATGTATCAATAATGGGAAACGGAGTGTGGGTTATATGGAAATTCTCCGTACTAGCTCCACAACTTTTCTGTACATCTAAAACTGTTCTATAATAAAAGTTTATTACGAACAACACTGCTTTGGCTACCAAATGGAGAATTTGCTGTAGTGGGATAAGAATGGAAGTAGGTGGACTAGTTGGGAATCCTAGGTTTTGCTACTTACTGGCCATGGAAACCTTGAGTTATTTTGTTTCATTGGGCCTTTATTTCCTTGTGTGTAAAGTGGGGTTATTTACAAAAGGAGATGTGAGGAGGATCGCTTCCTCTGTTACAACATTAGCATTCTCTCAGGTTTGAGTAACCTCACAGTGCTCCATCATCTGTAATGAGATGGAGATACATCTGAAAAATACAGGAGAAACGAGACCCCCTTGAGTAAAACCAGGCAAATGTTATACAACCAAGGAAAACCAACAGTCAGCAAACTGTAATCTGGTAACATGCAGGTCTGCAGCCTCCTAAAAATACAGTGTCAGGCACAAATAACGCCTCCTCGTCCCCGTTTTTTTTTTTTTTTTACTACAAAATCTTTTATTACAAAATCACAAGCATGTAATTCTGTAACATAACAATATCACCCTTGAGCACACCATGTGACATTTTAGGTGAAATGTTCAAATTAAAACTATAAATTATTATACCCATATTACTACCCTACCAACCACTCTCAAGTAGGCCTTACTTCTGTCGGACCCTGCAGACCGGAGGCATCCCATCTGTGTGAACTTGGCAAAGATGAATTCCAGAGAGATGTGCCTGATATCAACTAGATTCCCTTTGCATCCCACGGGAAGTGCGGCCATTGTCCCAGCCCCACTTGGATTAACTGGAGGGTCGTGGATTATTAAATCTCTCTTGTTTCTCAAAAACCCAATAATGTTGTTGAGGGTAGTGGTTCCAAAGCTGGCTATAAATAAGATTGGAAATTTCCTATTTCTTTTTTACATAAAAATCAATAGATCAAAAGCCAAGAGATTCTCACTTAGCAGGTCTGAGGCAAAGCCAAGGACCTATATATTTTTTAATTGCTTCACACAATTAGAATATGTAGTCAGGTTTGACACTTACTATTTTTATGGGGAGTTCTGAGTCATTAAATGTGGGCAAAACACCACATGGATACTGCTGATCCTTAATTCTAAGAAACCATAAGGAGACTTCTGGAATGATGCATGCCAACAGAGAAGACGCCGTGATGGCCGAGACCGTGCTACCTGGGTAAAAGCACCACAAAACTGTGTACAGCTTAGGTGGGGTGAAAATACGAAAGTTTCCCCTTCCTTTCTACCTTTCTTCTGAGATTTCCATTGTGAGTTTTTAATGTTTTCATAAAGAAAATGACTTTAGATATAAACCCCAAAGATCTGACCTAATGCCAGTGATGTTTGTGATAAAACTAAGAACTTGCTGTTATGATGATGATTTTCCACACACTGTAGTTTTGTTTACGGGCGCGCATGTGTGTGTTTAAGGGATTTAGGCACTTCAGAAAAACAAATTAGTTCCCCTGGCTCATCTAAGCTCCTAGAATTTCTTCATTTGAAGGTCGGCCGGCCGAGGTGTCAGCGGCCACCGTGTGCCACCCAGGGAGGGAGATGCCGGGGCTGTGACACTGGACCTCTACAGTGTGTAATGCCAACCTCACGAATGATTTAATGGACTTTCTTTGTGGAGGACGGTTTTTGAAAAAAATCAATACAAAGTCTATCTGGCGGGCTATAAATTCTTCTGAGCACTACACCCACTTTATGCAAAGCACTTCGTATCAGTGAGAGATTAGCGGATTAGGGGTCTTCTGTGTAACAGAAATCCAGTCAAGAAGAACCCTTCCTGAGAGGTCCAATATTTAAAAGACAACTACACTGTGGAAAATAAACTGAAGATGAAAGAGACCGTATCAGTATTCAGTCTCAAGCCCATTGTGACAATTATCATTTTCACACGAATAAGAGAATTGGTATCAGAAGCTATCAGGTGTAAACCCACTTATCTTGTTTGCAGCGGAGGAGGCCTGCAATCTCCTTTTCAGGGTCAAATGGCTTTGGAGCTTTAATTTACGGCATTTTGAAAGTACTATGCAAAGTCAACAAGGCTATATAATGGCATTAAATATACTTAATTTAAAAAATTCAGCCACAGTGCTGTCCATTGCAACAAATTTAATTAATTTTGTTTATAACTTTTAATTGCTAACATAACTTGAACAGTTGTGACTGACTGAGGTTATGTGTGAGGTTTAATTAATTAAATGGAACTTTGCTTTTTCCCCAGACTTTTTCCCCTCTATTCTGTTCCAGTTCACTAACCCTTAAAGATGCAATGTTAGAGTCTGATGCATGACCTAATACGGGACTTTTTTTAAAAAAAGATTCTGAATTCTGAACAAACGCAAAGGAATAAATTACTTTTGAGGGGAGGGGGAGAAACAAAGCAAGATTCTCCATAGGCAGTTTTCATAACTTTACCTTCCTATGAAAAAGTAAACATGAATTGGTACACATTCCTATAGCTGATACACTGTGTTTGACTCCTGAGCGATTGGGCCTGCCTGCCCAGCCTACCTTCCCCTCAGGACTGTTCTCTTTGAAATCTCCCGCCTCTCGGACCTTTACGAATGTTGAAACACCGAAGTGGGCACGCATTACGGTTTCTTTACCTGGTCAACGCTCACGTGGTCTGTTGTTTTAACCTCAGGTCATTCCTCCTTTCAGCTCTTTGCTTGTATTTGATGTTTTTTAATGTTATAGTAAATGATGTTTTTCCTAAATTTAGTTGTCTTAATTGTTTACTGCTAGTAAACAGAATAAATTTTTTTACATTGACTTTGTATCTTGCAACATTGCTATAAAGTCATGAACCTATTCTGGTAGTGCTCTTGTAGATTCCTTAAAACTTTTCTGTACAAAATCATGTTGCCTGCAAATAACAACAGTTTTACTTCTTCCTTTCTGATATTCATGCCCTTCCCGTGACGGTGCCTGGGCTAAGGCCTCCAGTACAATTTTGAATGGGGGTGGTGAAAGGGGACACCTTTGACTTGTTCTGAATATTAGGTAGGGAAAATATTCTAAAATTTAACCTTTAAGTGTAATATTAGCTGTATGTTTTTTGTAGGTAATCTTTATCATCTGAGGAAGTTTCTTCTACTCCTAGCACATTGAGAAGTTGTGTCATAAATGATTATATTTTGTCACTGGCTTTTTCTGCATCTATTGGTCTTATTCTTTTTTATCTGCATCTCTTCTTCTTTAAACTGCTAATATGGGGAATTACACTGGCTGATTTTTGTGTATGAAATAAATCTGCATTCCTAAAATAAATCTCCCTTGATTGTGGAGTATTTCTGTTTGCATACTGCTGGATTCAATGTACTAATATTTCATTAAGAAAATTTTCATCCATGATCATAAGAAAATTTGGCCATCAATTTTCTTTTCTTCTAATTGCCTTGTATTATTTTGGTATCCGATTATAGGGGCCTGAAGAAATAACTTGGAAGTGTTCCTTCTTCCTCCATTTCCTATGGAGTTTATGTCAGATTGTTATAATGTCTCCTTCATGAATATGATAATATTTAACAGTTAAGCCATCTGAGCTTGAAGCTTTCCTTGCGGGACATTAATTATCAATACAGTTTATTTAACAGGTTTAAGACTATCTAGATTTTCCATTTATCTTTATGTCAGTATTGTTGATTTGTCTTTCAAGAAATTTGTCTGTTTCATCTAGGCTGTCAAACTCATTGGCAAAACGTACCTCTTGGCGCTCCCTTATCACCCTTACAATGTCCGGAGGATCTGCAGCCATGTCCCTTTTTCATTTGCGATATTGGTAATTTGCATTTTCTTTCTTTTTTTTCTTGATCAGGATTTCTAGGGATTTATTAATAGTACTGATTTCTTAAAAAGAACTAAGTTGACTCTTCGATTTCCTGTTCTTGATTCATTTTTTAAAGGAAGAGAATACGGCAGATAAAATTAAAGATCCCCGTAACCCCTCCCTCAAACCCACCTCCCTGCGCTGTCCCGGAGGCATTCTTTCTCCTGAGTTTCATGTTTACTGTTCACCTCTCCCTTGCGTAGGAAAGGAAGGCTCATTTTTGCTGCTCTACTCGAATCCACTATTACTCACCATGTTTCCTGCCTCTGCGGCCAGCCGGGCGGCATAGCGGGCTATAAGCCGGTGTTCCTCATCCAGTCGGCTAGGGCTTTCCAGGACACTGTCAAGGAGATAAAAATTCAACAGGTGTCTATTAGATATCCCAGATTCTTGCTCCTCTTTCAGAAAGACAGATGGGAGAAAAGCTTATTAAAAAGGATGGTAACAGAAGAAATGGAGGCCTGGCTCACAGATGCCAATGGTCTTCTGAGACAGTGGGGACCCAGAGAAAGGAGGCCGCGTGTGTTACTTCTCTTCAGCAGCATATCCCAATGCTCTTAGGCTGTCAGACGGGCATTTCTTTCTTAATACCAGGACCGGGAAAAGACAGGGCATTTACAGAGTCTGAGAGAGGGGTTTCTAATCAAATGTTTAAAAAAACTCACTTTTAGACTTAGGTCTCGAACTGAAAAGGACCGAGAGAAAGCTAAAGCACCATGAAAAACAGGGGGCTGAGAAAAAGTACAATTAACACTGGCTGGGCAAAATGGAGGCCTCCAGGCTTGGGCAGGCCCGGTATACGGTGAGGTTGGAGAAGGTTACACGGTGGCAAACACTTTCTCTCATGCCTCTGTTTCTTCTTTTACCACACTTGTTTCACCAGTACAGCCCCATCTTTGAGTGGCTAGTCCATCCCTCTTTACCGAGAGTCCCAGCACTCTAAAGATTTAAAGACCCACCTAGGTGGGATATCAGGTAATGCAGCACCTGGATGAAAAGCGTTCTTGAGCAGCAGGTCAGCCCTACGCAATGTGATGAGCTTTAGATGAAATAACTGACTCCATTAATTTAGCATGTTATATTGACTGTCCGATGTTCACATCAGGGCACTTCTTGGTGAATTCGGACTGTGGCTATATAATTCTCTTTGTTTAAGTCTGGCAGGAGCGTTAAGGGGACAGGGGTGATGATGACTGACCAGAGATGGCTGTGGTGGCTGGCTTCTACTCTGGCCGTAGGTTCTTGGATTTCCGAAAATCCTTGTTTGGAATTTAGCAACATGACATGTACTATGAAAAAATTTAAAGACATGAGCTCAATACTCATTAACTCTTTTTATAATTACTGAGGGGAATCTGGGGTGGGTAAAGTTAAATTAATAGCAATCCATCTGGCCTTTTCATGGATACAATCTAATGTATTTTTCCTAGATTTTCTCACCTTTCTATATTTCTATATCTGTGGCTAATTCTTTTGGTCTTTCCTCTAGGATAGATTTTTTTTTTTTAATATGCTTTAAAATCTTCTGCCTATGACACTGCTGAACAGTTTATAATTTTAGGTGTGCAAATGTCAGTCTCCAACATGTATAATCATCCTCTCAGACTATGACCTTATAATAAGCACATGCTGTCATCGGTTGACTTTAACATCATAGGGTCAAGGCCCCAAGGTCTGGGCTGAAACGTATTTGTGCTTTAAAGGTGTTTGTCTGCCACAAGAGAACTACCTTTATCCTTTAAATACACAACAACAGAAATGAACATGTAACAATGCAAGTAGATGATATTACAGAGGGACTGGCAGCCTAAGAAGTGAGACTTCACATGGTTAACCTTTGTTTTCTGGCAAGGGGTACAACAGGCTCCTTTGTGCGGATGAGCTCCTTCTCTAGCACTTCCCACCTCCCAGGGAAGGTTAATCCTGCTTGTCATTTGTACCCAAGTGGAGACATCATGGATGTTCTAATTGGCTACACTTTCCAGCCAGAAACTAGAACTTCATGTTGATGAGAGGTTTCAAGGTCAATGAAAATCATGAGGAAAATTAGAAGGTTCCCTATTCTTCTGCTTGAATGGAATTCATTTTCAGAATTAGCCAGGAAATTTCTGACTTCTTTGAGGAAGTATGAAGCTCAGTTCCTTAGTTTATAAATCTAGAAGAGATGTAGTACTCACCGTATCTTCCTGTTCTCCTGGGGTTCCTGGCCACCAGTTCTTGAGCAGGGAGCCTTACCCCTAAACCAAAGACCTGAGGACCTCAGCTAAACCCACCATAAATCTTCTTGGGCCGACATGTCAGGGAGCAGTTGCTGCCCAACGTTCTGTTGCTACCTTCCCCGTGGAGGGGCAATTTCATGGCCTGGACAATTGCCCTGGCCAACTTGGAGTGAGCTGTCCCACCAGGGGTGAGGACGAGACAACTCTATTCCTGCGGCCCGAGGGGCAGGGGCAAAGAGCACAGAAATCGCCTCTGTTGGACAAGGAGACATTCTCTGTGATACAAGACACCAGTACTAACCAGGCCCTCCCCACCCTCCCATGGATAAGCCTGTCAAACATACTTGGGCAGGAGGAGAGCCCTAGTCTCTCTAAGGCTTTAGAGACAGGTAAATGCCTAAAAATATCAACGCTATTTAGTCATACTAGGAAAACTACGGGGAATGATATAAAGTATGATATTCACAAGAGTCCTTTTTAAATAGATATTTTCTCATTGACTATTAATTTATTTTTCTGTTATCATGGGGAGTAAGAATGACCTTCTCATGGAACCACAGCATGCTACAGGCAAAACTATGATCAAAACTTAAGGCTCCCACTGCCCTCATGTGTTTAGTTTATAAACCATGGTTCCCCTGCCCTAGGACTAAGAATGTCATGTTGTCTGGCACAGTGACTCAGGGCAGCTGGGAGGGCTCTAGGTGACTCACACTTCACCTGCATTCTCCATGCAGAGCACTGGCGCAAGCGGGCATGGTGTGGGCAGGTGGCTTTGGGTCTGCCTGGCTGTAACAGCACTTTGTTTGGTATTAACTCCGTTAAAGGGTTAACTTTGCTGTGGTTAGTGGTTATCAAATGGTTTTCCATCCTAACCCCAAGGGATCCGTCACATTCCCATATTAAGAATGAGTCATGACCACAGTCTTCAGGGAAAGGCGTATGTGGGGCTATCATAATACCTATACTTATTATAATATGAGGAGGCATATATCATTTGGAAAAAGTCCCTACGGGGACAATGATCCAATACCACTGTTGAAAACCACTGGTTTAAATGATCAACAATGATAGATTTGGGGGAGAGATGAGGATGTAGCATGTAGAGGTGTAACAGGGTGAAGGTATCAAAGACTAGACAGAGCGCAGTGCCTGTCGGCTGCTCAACCCTAAGCTTTGAATAGCAACAGAAAGTTTGTTTCATTACTTGGGGAAGAATGAACAGTAAGAGGTTGCATCAAATACCTCTGCAAATGTACATTTTTGGGACTGCATATCTCTCCAAGGTTTATATATTCTTTAAGTATAATCTGAAGGAAGTGAGCTCCACTTCAAAGGAGAATTTTTGACTATATGTTTAGGTAAGTGCCTGGGCTTGGCACGGCTCCTTCTCCTTTAGAAGTTAATGCTTTAGCAATAACATAAACTCTGCCAAACATAGCTGGGAGCTTCTCAAGCAAAACCCCACACGCGGGGCTTTTTCCAGCTGGCAGCCCTGGGCAACACGGCTCCCCCACCCTCTGCTCAGGCCTGGGACACCCGCCGGCTGCCGCCCTACCACTGACCGTGCACAGTGCTGCAGACGGGCCACATAGGAGGCGATCAGCGCATGCTCATCGGCCAAGTGACTGGGTATATCCTGGCTACACTGTAACCTGGGAACAACGGAGGCAAAGACAGCAAGCATGACACAAACACAGAGCAAGACATGAACATGAATTAAAATGGGCAAATTTCAAAGAAATACAGAAAAATAGTAAATCATGATAAGACAAATTAAAAAAAAAAACAAACAACCCACAGTGCATAATGGAATGTGGTGTTAGACCATAGGGAATATATCTCACAAATCCTTTGAACAAAAGTTAGGAGACAGCTTTGGAGGCCTGACACTACTACCCTTGAGAAAAGCAACCAAGGAGGGGTCCCCAAGGAGCCTTGCCCAATGGTCTTGTCCAGGTTCCGGGCTCTGTGACAGATGCGCCTTTAGAGGGATGCCCTCCAGCACTAGAGCAGGCACAGTGAGTCTGCGCAACATTGCTCAATAGCCCCCAATGCTTTTATAGCTTCTGCCTGCATGTAAGAGTCGTCAGTGTTACCTCATGATACCAGTTAAGCCTTTTTATTTCCGTAGGGACACTGCCTTCAGCATCATTCTATTTTCTCCCACACAATCGGTACTTAGGCCAACCGTCTTAGAATTGTATCTCATTGTAAGGCAACACTGTGTACATTCTGAGAGAGATGCTCTCTTATAGATAGATGAAAGGTGCTCCAGCACACTATCTTTAAAAAAAAAATACTTATAGAAATGTTAAAACAGAGAGTAATTCCATGACTACCCTTCATATACCCATCAGCAAACTTCCACAAAAATCAACACTTTCCTACCTGTTCAGCCTATTTTTTCTTTTCCTAACATTTTGTGCAGGAAGGGTGATTAGAACAAATCCCAGACAATTCATTATTTGTCGCAGAAATACTTAATTTAAATAACCTCAATGCCATTATGACACCTAAAAAATTAACAGAAATATTTAAATAACTCAGTCCATCTGAAAATTTCGTCCATCTATAAAACAATCTTTTTACAGTTAAAATCAAGATCCAAACAAGGTCCACAAATCCTACATTTGGTTGGTGTTTCTGTTGGTGTTTTAATCTGTAACAGTTCCTCCTTTTCCATTTCTGTCATGTCATTTATTTGTGAAGAAAACAGGTTATCTCGTAGTATACCCTGTATTCTGGATTTAACTGATTGTTTCCTGTGGTGTCATTTAATTTGTTTCTCTGTCCTCTGTGGTTAGACCTAAATGTTTGATCAAAGTTTTTGCTTTTGTTTTGTTATTTGAGAAGGAGCTAGGATCCATCATAGGTAACATGGTGTACTTATAAATCAAAGAGGAGGCACATAATGGAATATAAATATTGATCAGATGTTACTGGTTACATCTCTCCATTATAAAGTCCCCCATCAACTTTTCACCTGATAGTTTTAGCATATACTGATGTTCTTGACTACATTCATCATTTCATTAGGGGTTGTAAAACGTTGACTTTCTGCATTTATAATTTTCCTCTCTTTGTTTATCTTGAAGTACTGCTCACTTGGGAAAGGTAAAATAAATGGTTGATATTTCCTATTATGTAACAAAACTCAGGACAATGACTTAGTACTGCAGCAAACTCCAGTGGTTACCAAGGACTTTTATTTTTTAGTATCATATGAACTCATAGCTTTCTATGTACCTGACATGCTTCAGTCAATTACAATCATCTTTTTGTCGCTCAAATTGTCCTATTTTTGGTCAGTGGGAGCCCTGAAAGTAGTCGGTGCCTGTGTCCCTCTGACATATCCAATAGATCTTACTAACTTTCTTGCTTGGGGCAATAGGATGTCTGGTCTCATCTTGTATATATTCTACCCCACACTTGACATCCACTATTCTTCCAAGGATTTCAGGTTCCCTTCACTGGAAAAGAGTGTTTAGAGACCACAATCAGGTGTCTAGGGAGCTCAGTGTTCCTGGATTGTCACTGCTTCTAGATCTTTTCAGTAGACAAAGCTAGTAAATTTATGTATTTTAGAAAAAAAAATAGAATTCTCAGTACTTTCAGATGCCACTCCATTTCCTTCTAGCTTGCACTGTTTTTAATGAGAAGTTATTGAAAAATGTTATTTTTGTTCCCCTGTAAGCAACATCTTTTTTTTTATCTAGCTGCTTTTAGTATTTTCTCTTTATCACTGGTTTTTAGCAATTTGATTGTGATGTCTGGCTCTTGGTATGGTTTTCTCTATTTATCCTGCTTACAGTTTGTTGAGCTTCTTGTATATGTGGATTTATAATTTTCATTTATTTGGAAAACAAATTATTCCTGTAAATAATTTTTCTGTCCCCCTGTTAGACTGCTTGACATGTTCCACAAGTCGTTGATGCTGTGTCTGTTTTTAGACTTTGTTTTTAGATCCCCTCTGTGCTTCATTTTGGATCATTTGTCTTTAAGTTCAGTGGACTTTTCATCTGCATTCCAGTCTGTAAGTCCATCCCTTGAATTTCATATAAGGTATTATTCTTTCCAACTCTAGAAGTTGTTTTTTAATTAAAAAATTGTAAATTAAAGTAGAAATATTACATTGACACTTGGTTCTTTTTTATTTCTACCATTCTCCTTTTTAATATGTTCATATTCTCCTTTGTATTTTCTGATATTTATCATGGCTGTTTTAAAGTCCGTATCTGCTAATTGCATAATGGCTGTTACTTTTGGCTCTTTTTATGTCAACTAATTTTCTCCTGGTTATAGGACTTGCTACTTTCCTGCTTCTTCCTATCCCTTCTAATTTTTTAATGGATGTCGGAAATTGCGAATTTATGCTGTTGAATGTCTGGATTTAAAATTTAAAAAAAAATTTTTTTGAACATCTGGATTTTGGTATCTTCCTCCAAAGAATCTGTTAGTTAGTTTACGTGAAGAGAGCTATTTGCTCTCTGCAAGCAAGTGGAACCGGGTAGCTGTTTCACTTTCAAATACCGCAGGGGCTGTTATTCCCCAGGTAGTTTCTCATTGCTGGCCTTGTGAAACCTCATTTATGCAAAAATAGTTTCGTTTTCAGCCAAAGACCCAAGAGTCCCCCATGCAGATTTTTGGGGCTCTTTCCCCGCACACCTCCTGCTTCCTGGTAATCTGTTCCATAAACCCCCGCCTCCCCAAACTCCAAGCTCTGTCTCCTTATTCTCAGCAAGGCTGCCTTGCTCTGCGTGCACCCCGCACCGAGGTTGAGCAGATGTCTCTCAGCGGAGAGCTGGGGCAATCACAGCAATATCCTCAGCCCCGCCTTGCTTACCTTCTAATTTCTGAAAACAGCTGTTATACTCAGACTGGTTTTCTAGCAATTCATTGTGGAGGAGCTAATCTGATGCTAGTTACTTCATCATGACCAGAGTGGAAGTTCTCTTTATAGTGACTCATTTTTATCATGCTTTTGTGAAGTACTGATCCACTTCAAACTAGATATTAAAACAAAACTGCTTCTTTAAGGCAGACATGGAGAAGAAGCGCTGTATAACCTGGTAGGCCATTATAAGGGTTTTAGTTTTTACTTAAGGTGTAAAGTTATTGGAAGACTTTGAGCAGAGGTGAGCTACGATACAGCTTACATTGTAATAGGACCATTTGAAGATAAAGTGCCAGAGAGCAGGGGAAGCAGCAGCTAAGCAGAAGGCTACTGGAACATTCCAGATAAGAGACAACAGAGGCTAGGGAAATAGTAGTAGCAGAAGTGGTAAGAAAATAGTAAGATCTTGAACATATTTTGCTGGTGTTTTTGAATGAAGCTGATCTAATAATCTGACAGATTAGAAGGGACGAGAATGAAAGATTCTGACTTGGCAACTAGGAGAACTGCCATTCACGGAGACAGGGAAGACATGGGAGAAGGAGGTTTGGTGGGGGGAGATACAGAACTCAGTTTGAAACATGCTAATTGTGAGATACGCATTAAATAGCCAAGTAAAACTACTGATTAGGAGAAGACTATAAGGTTAGAGCTCAGGGAAAAGGTTGGGGCCAGGACACTAAGTTTGGAAGTCCCTAGTGTGCAGACAGTATTAAAAGCTATGAGGCTAGATGGGACTACCTACAGTGCGCGAGGGCAGCTAACAATGAGAAGTGGGCCCTCAGGCATCCTAGTGTCTAGAGTTCAGAGAGAGACAAAAAACCCAGCAAAGGAGGCCGAGGAGGGGTAAGAGGAAACCCAGGAGGGCACAACACCTGGAGGCAAGAGCACAAGTGTTTCAAGTAGAAGGAAGTGATCCTCTATGTCACCTGCCACTGATAGGTCAAGAAAGATCAGCCCTGAGCTTTCACCACTGGATTTGCACTGAGATGGTCACTGGTCTCCTGGACAGAAATGGATCTGGCAGAGTAACAGGACATGAAAATCTGACCAGGGACTGGGAGAACAGAAATTAGGCGTGACCGCAGGACCAAGAGTCCATTGGCTCCACCAGCTCTCTATGAAGACTGCTATTCACAACTAGCGCTGTGTGTCAGCAAGCAGGGGTCTAAACCAAAAGGAAAAGCATCATCAGAGCAGCCTACATGGAACTGAAGTATCCATGTATTTCCTGCTCCCATTCAAAATCATTCTTGTTTTCCAGATTTACTTTTGAATTTAAACTTTCTTTTTTTGACAAAACACAGATATATTACTGTATGTGTAAATTATAAATATACATGTACATTGTTTTTATTTGTATTAACCTGAGTTAGAACTGCTGAAAGGTTCACCTTAAATGCGTGAATGGAAAAGGAATTTAATCTCAGCCCCGAAGCAGCTGACAACTGGAGGCCTGCCCAGGCTCGCAGGCGGACTCTGGAACCTCGCCAGTGCCGAGGACCCTGCCGTTCCGTACGAGTATGTGTTAATTTTCAATTACTCTGCTTTCTTGTCTTTCAAAAAAAGATTGGAGGAAAAAAAAGTCCTGTGTTGCCATGGAGAGATTCTCATGAATTCGTACGAGCTAGTTGTTCCGTGACCATGCTGAAACCTTCATTCCTGTGCTTTTCAACCAAATTCTGTTTTTCTTATTTCACAGGAAAGATGAGAATCAGTGGCGGGACCCCACAAATGGATAGCTTCTGGCTCAACCGA